ATAAGATCATGCACTCTGCAAGCAGGGACAATTTGCTTTCCTGTTTTCCCATTTGTATGACCTTTGTTTCTTTCTCTTGCCTAATTGCTCTAGCTAGAACTTCCAGTACAACTATGAATAAAAGTGGTAAGAGTGAGCATTTTTGTCTTGTTCCAGTTCTGAGAGGAAAATGTGAAAACATCAGTAAGATGTACATTGTGGTGCAACGTATTCTAAACTTTATCTATTATACTCTCATTTACTTTGTTTCAAAAATGAAAATTTATCAAGTACAATACCATTACCTATGTTTCTGATTTAAAGGAAATATGTGCATACGTTTTGAATTTGTTAATTAGGACTAGATCAACAATGTCATAATGAAATGTCAGAAGGTTTCTGGTTAAAATTAGCCTTCTATAATAGGCAGAGTTTACAATGTTAAGTGGTAAATCCAGTTTTCTTCAGTAAACATTCAAATAAGTTAGTTCTCTATAACAATCATTTTCAGTGTTAAAATTAGAAGTCAAGAGTCCATTAAACCATTTTAGTAAGACTTTTGCTACTAGTAGAAAGTTTCTTACCCATCTCAGTAATAAACTCAAAGAAAAACTTAACCTTATGATTTCAAAATAGCAAGTTAGTGTAGATTAAACTTAAGCTTTATCTAATATGAAATTATAATGTCTACCTGAGTGTTTACCTTCTCAAACATCTCTATCAACAATCTCTGCTTTTACCATTTCTTATTAAACATATTTTAAGTATCACTTTAAGTTCTAGCCAGAAATGGAATAAAAAAAATATTGGGTTCATAATTTTCTGTTTCCACAATTCTATTTTTCTTTTAGTAGTTTATTGTACTTGAAGCTTAGCTCATTAATTTCTTATCTAATTCTTTTCTTTCCTTCTCTGGTACCATAATTTACATCTATAAATTTCTACTATAGGTAGCAATTTACGATATTTCATGAGTTTGATATGTATTTTCATTATAGTTCAATCTAAATAATTCCTAATTGTAATTTCTCCTTTGACCCATGTATGATTTAAAAGGGTGTTCATTTGTTTCTTTGGTAGGTTGGTTTGCTTTGCTTTTGGTTTTGGTTTTGGTTTTTCCATATGGGTATATGTGTATTGGGGGAGGAGAGTTAATTATATTTATTACTGATTTCTAAGTAATTTAATTGCATCATCATCAAAGAAAGTAATTTTTAAATACTAATTTTCTTTATAACCTAGTTCTTGGTCAGTATGTTTTTAGTGTTCTTTATTGACTTGGTAGGGCTCCCAGCCATTATTGCAACTCACTTATATTTGTTCCCTGCAAATTTCATGTTGGAATTTGATATCCAGTGTTGGACAAGTGACCTAGTGGGAGGTGTCTGTGTCATAGGGGCAGATCCCCCATGAGCGGCTTGGTACCATCCTTGCAGTAATGAGTTAATTCTCACTCTGTTAGTTTACACAAGAGCTGATTATTGAAACGAGCCTGGCATCTACCTTTCCCTCCTCATCCTTCATCATTTGCCACTTGTTGCTTATTCTCCTTCCCCTACTGCCATGAGTGGAAGCTTTCTGAGGCCCTCACCAGAAGCAGACATTGATGCCATGCTTCTTGTGAAGCCTGCAGAACCATGAGTGAAATAAACCTCTTTTCTTTAGAAATTAGTTTCAGGTTTTTCTTTGTAGTTACACAAATGAACTAAGAAACTCACCTATTCAATAGGAAACACTAATTTCTTCATCCGCTATTCCTTCCTGTGTTTTGCGCCTTCCTCCTGGATTGAATTTTCTTATCCTTCAAAGAAATTCTTTCTCTAAAAGTTTATTCATAGCTAATTAAATTTGTTCAGACGTTATTTTATTTTACCCTCACATTTGAATGATAATTTTCTACATTATAGAATTTTAAATTGGCAGTTATTTTATCGAACAGTTTTGAAGATATTTTTACAAGGTTTTCTAATTATTTTTTATTTGAAGACAGTCTATCTTTTTCCCTCCACTTGCATTTAAAATATCTTCTTTAATGGCTCTACAGTTTTAATTCATAGGTATCTGGCAGTGAATTTTTGTTTTCCTCCATGGGATTTGTTGAGATCTCTGAATCTGAGGATTTATATCTTTCATAAGTTATCAAACATTTCTGGATGTTATTTCATTGCAATTTAAATGACTGGTTCTCCATTTTCTATACCTTTCTAGAATCTGTATGAGATGACAAGAAAAGATATCTTCACATTCTGTTCTCCACGTATCATCTCATGTGCCAGTTTGGCACTAAAACATAAATCCCTTTGCCTCTAAGTTCAGAAACTCCCCCAGGGTACCTTGGTTTTACTTTACCCTCTTAGAATTCTGGTTGCATTCACCACTGCTCAGGGGTCCGTCTGGTATTCAACTGCTTTACTTTGGGCCCCTGGGGATTTCTCATAGCCTTTCAAGCTCTGCTATGCATTTAAAATAATATTTGTAATGTTTTATAGAAGACTTCTGAGTAATTTTTTGTGAAAATATTTTCAAATTATCTAGTTTATAACATTTTAGGAAATAGAGGTCAATGAAGATTTTAAGCATCAAAAATATTTAATTATGTTGATAAATTTGAACTGCTTAATGCAGACATAGTCCTTGAAAATTTTAGAAAACATGCACACTACTGGGCTGAATCAAAAAACGCTTTCTAGTTGATGTTATTAAATACAAGAGTCCGTTATTCAAGACTTCACTCTCCGTGCATCTCATTAATTAATATTTTACTTTAATGTTACAATTTCCTTGACACTTTCAGAGTGTTGAAGAGTTTAAAGCAATTTTATTATCTTTAATTATTCGTTTATTTTCATCATTCTTTTGTGTTAAATAGGAACAAAAGGAATTTGTACGTATTAACCAAGGTTAAGTGAGTACAATTAAGTTAGAGTATTGAGCTAACTTTGATTCATTTTAGATGGATATTCTAGAAGTAGATACTCTTCTGTGATCTTAAATTAAATCACCTTTTATTTATATGGCTTAACAAAGACAATGCTTTCAGTATGACCTAATATTTTTGAGTCTTGGGTTCAAAATTCATTCACCCTTAACAACCTTTCTGTTATATATTTGTGTACTTTGGGATCTTTCTCATCTTATTTCTTGTATAATATTTATTGCTATTATATCAGCTATAGCCCTCAACTGTTTTCTAGCAGTTCCAAAGTTTCTGGTATTGCCTTCCCAGCCAGAATATAAACTCCTACAGGACAGCAACAGCACACAGGGTTCTCTCTAATGATTCTTCACCACAGGGTTGGCACACCTTGTAGCCAAGCACAGGCAAGGTGAAAAAAAAAGACCTGATTGCCTGAGTAGCAGCTCTATCTGAAACAGAAATTTCATTAACACCAATAAATAATAGAAGGTTAAAGCAACAAAATGTTTATAAAACTACCCAAGTCCATGGTGTTTGATTACAATTCCTACTCACAGACTGCCTTACAAAAGGAAGTGTTAAAGATTAAAGAAAACCAAATCCCTATTAATCAGTTACAAATCAAGAAAAAGCTAGAGGGAAGAAGGCTGGGGAAAGAATAATATTCTTATTATAAAGATTTCCAAAGGGTCACTTGTAACTACAATCTCAAACCTAGAATTTTCAGAATGCTCAATAGCCATTAATTCAGTTATTCAACAAATATTTATTGACTACCTGTCATGTCAGACACTGTTCTAGGCATTTGGTATATAATCACAACAAATCAAGCCAACATTTCTGCCCTCATGGAACTTGAATTCTAGTTACAATAAATAAATAAATAAATAAGTACACAAAGATAAATAGAAGATATAACATGTCAAATTGCTATGACAAAAAAATTTAAGCAGCAAGAAAGAGGGGTTGGGGCCAAGTTTGGGAGATTATTATTTTAATAGGTGGTTAGGGAAAGCTTCACTGAAATGGTAACATTTCAGCAAATAACATGCCATGAGGATATCTGGGAGAGAAATGTTCCAATCAGAGAGAACTGCAAATGTGGAAACATTAAGCCAGAAGGAACCTGGCATGTCCAAGGAATTGCTAAAGGATACTGTGACAAGACCAGGATGAACAAAGGGTTGTTGTCAAAATTGAGAATACAGGGTCTATAGAAATAAAAAGCAGAAAGCTCTTGTAGAGTACTGAAGACCTTTGTAAACAACTTTGATTTTTCCCCTAGTGAGATAAGGAGCCATTGGAAGGAATTCTGAGGCAGGTGTGAGACAAATATTTCAAGCAGAAGAAAATGGCCAAAGCTGGAGGCGGCTGAGGTTAAGAGAAGACTTTTTTTAGATGAGAAACATTATGGCATGTTTTTATATTAGTAAGCAGAATCCAGGAAAGAAGGGGGGAAAAGATGAATCAAATGTGTGAAGAAAATGGAAAATTGTCATAGCAGTTACTGGGACTAGCCGAGAGGGAAACAGACCTACTGCATATTGGGAAAGCTATTCTTAGACAGGACCCTGGACAGTTCACTCATTGCACCAGGAAAGAAGGCAATGTGTGTAAAGCACAGGTACAGGCAGGTTGATCAGTCAGTGAGCCCTGGGAGATCATAAAGACATTTTCTTCTATTGGTTTTATTTTCATCTCGGAATAGGAGGCAAGGTCAGCTGAGAATTACAATAAAGGAAGAGGTAATGGGGGTTGGAGTAGAGAAAGAGAACAGGCCTCACACAGGACTACCGAAGGCAACATAAGGTGTGGGGACCAGCAAGGTTCATATTCCAACTCTGTCATGTATCAGCCATGTGATCCTGGGTAAGTTTTTTATTCTTCCTAAACTCTAGTTTCCTTATACAAAATGGAGAGACTAATAGTGCCAATATCACCACTTTGTAGAGAGGATTAAGAGAGTGTAAAAGCAATTTCAACATTACTTTATGGCAAGCACTTACTATGTGTTAGCTGTTAACTGATACTATCTTAATATATTAGCATCTCAATTATTTATTAGTGGATAGGTTGTGATATTTTATTTCTACTCTCTTTGCAGGAGGTTTGTCCTCACCAAGCTTCGAGTCATCCCAAAAGGTGCATTTTCAGGATTTGGGGACCTGGAGAGAATGTATGTACCTGACACTGTGAGTGAATGCCTCAAGGGGGTTAGAGAAAGTAACCTCAGATCACATCTAGTAGGATGAACTGTACTTAGTAGCCAGACTGACATGACCAGCCAAACTTTCTGCATCTCCTTACATTTTTTTGTCTCACTATGGTGAGACAAAATGATAGTGTGGAATCTTTCAGTGAGGCCATTGAAATGAGCAAAAGAGCAATCCAAGCAATTTTCCTCATTTCTCAAATAAGGGGTTGTTCCCAGAGTACCTGTGAGTGGAATTTTCATAAATGAAAGCCTCTTTTTTTCTGCAGACACCCAATCTCTTTCAAAAATACTTTCTACTATTTATGATTGATTTTTAATTGACAGCAGGACTTAACACCTGTGCTGTAGAGACTCTCTAGCCTTTTTGTTCCCAAGGTATGCATGCAGGCAAGTAGTAATTGATATATAAACATTTAAAAGTACTAGGAAAGTTTACAGCACTGATGAAGATTTCCTTTGAAAAGAGAAGTCTAGTAGTAAAAGACAGTAAAAGACTATTGGATATCCTCCCACACTTAAAGTAATCCACCCTCCCTTTGAAAGCTCTTGGTACCGCCTCCTGGGCATTTAGAGCCAGGGAGATATGTTCTTCTCTGCAGTGAGACAGCCACGATTCAGGATTTTAATGCCAGTAAGTATAGCAATGAATAAACAGAGTATATACGGAAAGGAATGAAAGCAAGGCAAGAAAGCAAACCTTCAGTTCATGTGTTTCTCTTTGTTGAGGTCATTAAATTTATCGTCTTGGTTCCTTTTTATCCCTTTAAGAATAGTACTTGCTGAAGTCAGAAGAAGTAAGAAAGGAATCCATTAACAAAAGAATCACAAAGTATAGATATCATTATGTCCCAGCAATTAAGCCACCTGCTTAAAGGAGGGTGGTTAGAATCCTGGTTTCAGTGTTAGTTTTAATATAAAATTACTGCATAACCTTGATTAAAGCATTTTATCTTTTAGGGCCTTGGTTTCCTCATCTGTGTATTAAGAAGGGAGTTTTAAAAAGGGGCTTACGTGATTTCCAATTTCTATCCCCAAGCTGGAGGAGAGCCCAATTTAAGACCTGTAATCTTCCAGGGTTTACCTCACTGAAGACATTCAGCTATCACAGGGATTAGAAGATGGGGAAACTCAGCTGAACAGAGTTCACCAAGGAAACCAGGAAAAGAGTATAGTTCAAGAGCTTTGTGCTCAAGATGCATTCCTGGATGAATTCACCATTCCCTCGCCTATAACTAGCACAGACTAAATGATTATTGGATATCCCTGAGTCCCTAAACATCACGATAATTACATAGAATTCTAAAGACAGGCATTTCAGATGTCACAAATAAGCTACTTTAATCAAATTTAATCCAGCAAGTGTGAATGACCCCTCACCGGGTATTCAGCATCAGACAAGACCTTCCGTAGCAATACGAATGGTGGAACTGAGCTGACAAAGCAACAATCCAAGAGACACAGCAGCTGGCTCAGTAACTCAACTTGCCCAGACAGAGCTTGTCCATTTTTACCTCATGTCTTTATTTATCAGCCTGTACTGACACAGTGAGATGCCAAAAATAAAATCGATCTTTTTTATTTCACCCTTTTTATACCCTTAGGCTTTAAAGCATTTTCTAGCAGAGGGCCCAGCATTGGATTGAACCTGAGGAGACTTTGGAATCCCTCAGTCTCCATGCTCACCTCTGTCCATTGTCTTGCCTTCTACTCTTGGTCACCAAAATGTTCTCATCTCCTTTCCAGACCTACCTCCTTCACTCGTGTTCTTCCAGTTGTTAACCAGTTTCCTGAACTTAGTAACTATTGCCCTTTTCTTCACTATCTCCCTCTCCACAAATCACAAAGTCCTTTTCATTCATTCTGCACACGTGACCAACTTTCACCTATCCATATTGGAAAGAAATAAAGGAAAAGTTTTCTGTATAAATTCCACCTTCTTATCATGCTACCTTTTTCTCTCTTCCCCATCAAGACCACTGTGTTGAAAGAGCTGCCTTCATTCACTGCTTCTCTATCCTTTCTTTTCAATCACTTCTTAGCCTACCCACTTGCTATTTGGCCAAAAATTCTTCAAAACTATTAAACTATTCTATCAAAGATCTCAAAAATACCACAGCTACAAGATCCAATGACTTCTACTTTATCCTCTTCTACTTACCTTACATATAGCTTATTTAATTAACCATTAATGTACTTCTTCTCAACACCCTTTCCCCACTTAACTTCTGGGACACCGCACTCTCCTCCCTCCCTATTAACCTCCCAGATTGCTCCATATCCAGTTCTCTTCATCTCTCTTGTTCTTTAACTGCCCTTCAAAAATTTAGGAATTCTAGAGCTCTACTTTTGTCAATTTTCTTCTAACTCCACCCCTGAACAACCAGTTGTCAGATAATGTCTTAATACCTGGGTTCCTAAACTTTCATCTGCAACCTTCACCTCCCTTTTGAGACCATAATTATTGTTTTAAATTAGAAAAATGCCTACACATCTACACCTGAGTAAACTGCAAATACCTGAAATTCAACATATTCAGAACTAGCACATCTTTATCCTTAAATTTCTCATCTTCCCATATTGCCGAGTGAATAATGTCACCATCTGCCCAGGTTCCCAAGCAAGGAAAATCCAGTCTTCCTTGACGCAGGTGCATTCTGTATGTCTTATGCCAAGGTGCTCTTCCAGTCCTACTGACTGCTTCTCAAATGTACTCCAGTATCCAGCCCTCTTCTCATTCCTGCTATTAGACCCAAAATCTCTTCGGCATTTATATAGCCTACTGTATGAAGCTGCCATGCCTATCCCAGCTGCAATCTTCCTGCCACTCTGCTGCCAGATTTGCACTGTTCAAATCCTCTTGCAGAAGAACCTCTATGGATCCTCCTTGCTAAAGACTTAAGTCATAAGTTTGGGGCACATAAATCAAAACCCTTTATCTCACACCATATGCACTGTGTACCTTACACTTTCACCAGGTGGGACAGTTTTCTATTCCCCAAGCACTATTATTACCAGACATCATATTGCATATTTAGAATGTAACAGCTTGTTCTTTGGACAATGTCTGGCACATAAAGGGATTAAAAATAATTGCAGGGGAATGAAACAATAAATAAACAAATAAACAAAATATACTTTCACACTGTTCTTATGTAGATGCTGTCCCTCTGTCTAAAATTTCACTTCATAAAATCCTGGCCCAGTCAGGGGCCAGATGAAATGCTTACTTTTCTGCAGAGCTTTTCCAGAACTTTCCCAGTTTTTCCAAACCAGTATTCTATATTCATAATATTAACAGCACATTTATCAGATTGTATTCAGAATTTATAGTTTATCAGACCCCTTGATTATTCTTTAAGGCCAAGATCAGAATGTAGCAACTTTGTACTACAGTATAAGACCAAGTCTGTCTAGCCTGTCCACTCATGTCTTTCTTCAGCTACAACAATCTTTCCTTGGTATCTTAGTCCATTAGTGCTGCTGTAACAAAATACCACAGACTAGATAATTTACAAGGAACAGAAATTTATTTTTTCACAGTTACGGAGACTTGAAAGTCCAAGATCAAGGCTCCAGCCTCTGGTGACAGCTTTCTTGCTGAGTTCTCACATAGTGGAAGGTAAAAGGGCAAAAGGGGACAAACATGCAAACATGTCCCTACATGGCGGAGGAGAAGACAGAGAACCCATTCCCAAAAGCTTTTTTTAATAGCAACAGAGGAAGGAACAGGCAGCAATCTTTGCTGTTCTGCAGCCTCCACTAGTGATTTCCAGACAAGCAGGATCTGTTGTGGACCTCCAGCAAACTCCAGCAGACCTGCAGCAGAGGGGCCTGACTGTTAGAAGGAAAACTAACAAACAGAAAGAAATAGCATCAACATCAACAAAAAGGAAGTCCACTCACAGACCCCTTCCAAAGGTCACTGACCTCAAAAACCAAAGGTAGATAAATCCAAGAAGATGGGAAGAAAGAAGAGCAAAAAGGCTGAAAACTCCAAAAACCAGAATGCTTCTTCTCCTTTAAGAGATCACAGCTCCTCACCAGCAAGGGAACAAAAATGGACAGAGAATGAGTTTGAAAAATTGACAGAAGCAGGCTTCCGAAGATGGGTAATAACAAACTTCTATGAGCTAAAGCTCAAACTTCTATGAGCATGTTCTGATCCAATGCAAGGAAGCTAAGAAGCTTGAAAAAAGGTTAGATGAAAACCTAACTAGAATAACCACTTTAGAGAACATAACCTGATGGAGCCGAAAAAGATAGCACAAGAACTTCATGAAGCATATACAAGTTTCAATAGCCAAATCGATCAAGCAGAAGAAAGGATATCAGAGATTGAAGATCAACTCAATGAAATAAAGCTAGAAGACAAGATTAGAGGAAAAAAAAAAAGAGTGAAAGGAAATGAACAAAGCCTCCAAGAAATATGGGATTATGTGTAAAGACCAAATCTACGTTTGATCGGTATACATAAAAGTGAAAGGGAGGATGAAACCAAGTTAGAAAGCACTTTTCAGGATATTATCCAGGAGAACCTCTCCAACCTAGCAAGGCAGCCAAACATTCAAATTCAGAGAATACAGAGAACACACGAACTCCTTGAGAAGAACAACCCCAAGGCATATAATCGTCAGATTCACCAAGGCTGAAATGAAGGAAAAAATGCTAAGGGCAGCCAGAGAGAAAGGTCAGGTTATCCACAAAAGGACCCTCATCAGACTAACAGCAGATCTCTTGGCGGAAACCCTACAAGCCAGAAGAGAGTGGGGACCAATATTCAACATTCTTAAAGAAAAGAATTTTCAACCCTGAATTTCATATCCAGCCAAACTAAGCTTCATAAGTGAAGAAGAAATAAAATCCTTTACAGACAAGCATATGCTGAGAGATTTTGTCACCACCAGGCCTGCCCTAGAAGAGCTCCCAAAGGAAGCACTAAACATGGAAAGGAACAACCAGTA